TGTATACATAACTCCAACACTTCTTGCACGCCCACACACTCATCCTATCTATTCCTACTGTGCTTGTTCTGGCTCTCTATTGCAGGCGGATATTCAGAAGTGCATTGCGGAGCTGAAGAACATGATCGACTGCCACGCGAACTTCTACGCGGCCATTCAGGCCCCACAAAATGCCACAGATGAAAGCGAACAAATTGCGTAAGTGGTTGCAAAATGTGTGTGTGCGTGCGTGTGTGTTGGTGGTGTATATCCTAGCACGTCATTCTCCCTATGAGATGGGTGTGAGGTGTCCAGGTGTAATGTTTGGTCGCGCATGCGTCATATACACTACAGCCCATAGACCCATCTATGAGTCATGATGACTAATACATTACTCATCGATGACTAATACATGACTCATCGTCATAGTGTGATGCAACTCATCTTCAAACACTGCACCACTTCCCCTCCCTCCCCACCACGCAGTGTGTCGCGGCTGTGCTCTGGATTTGTGGCGTATGCGGATCAGTTCAAGTCACACTACAGCTCGTACTGTGTGCTCTACCCACAGGTGAGTGAGTGATACTTGGGTTACCATACCAACGAGATGCGTTGCTAGGTTACCATACCAACGGGAGTCATTATCAAGCTTCATAATACATAGGCTACCACACCAACGAGATATGTTTCTAGGCTTAAGTAACTTGTGATGTGTTCCGTTTATTTAGATCATGTTTCGTATGCGTCCCACTTGCAAACTCTTTAACGTACTGTTTTCGCATTCCGTTGTAAACGCTTCAGGTTCTCGCCGCGTGGATGCCATACGAATCCAGTCCCGAGGCAATGGCAGCGGTAGACCAATACAAGGTATGGTTTCAGGATTTTAGTGTTTAGGGTTTATGCTTGTGGGTCTAGGATGATATCAAACTTCGGTACTTGCGACATTTCAATCGCTTGCGCCGCTCAATGCATATCACAGCCGTCCGCTTCAGTTCAATACACCAGACAACGCTCTGATTGTACCGAACTTCCACACACGCACAGAGAGAAAACCAGGTGATGTCCTTGAACACACAGTCTCTGCTCATTAAGCCCATACAACCATAGAAGATATACACATCAGTACATATCACACGCATCTGCCATTCCCCATTGCATCAGACAACACCTTCATTGTACCGAACTTCAACATACGCTCAGAGAGAAAACAAGGTGATGTCCTTGAACATACAGTCTCTGCTCATTAAGCCCGTGCAACGGCTGTGTAAGTATCACCTGCTCTTGGGACAACTCATGAAGTATGCGCAGAACGGCAGCCAATCAGCGACCGCCATTGTTAAAACCACAGATTTGGCGGCAGATCCCGACGCGGTAGTTGATATGGCGGGTAGGTGTGACGGATAGTAGACATGGATGCCATGAATAGGCGTGAGAGTGTCTGTAGCACTCGAGTATGCGTAAGTGCGTGTATGTACATGCGAGTATATTGAGCTTAAAGCGAGTGTGTATACATTTGTGTGTATTAGTTAGTCTGCGTGTCTGCATGTGTGCATTCATGCGTGCGTCGTCCCTGAAGTATGTTATGTATATGATGTATGTGTGCTATGTATGTAAGTTGTAAGTGTGTTATGTATATGTTGTATGTATGATATGGATGGGATGCTAGTTTAAATTGTGTTATGTATGTTGAAAGGGTGTTATGTATGTAAGTTGCAAGTGTGTCATGTATATGTTTTAAGTGTGATATATATATATTAAGTGTGTTATGTATGTATGTTGTTCGTGTGTTATATATGAAAGTTGTATGTGTGTTATGTATATATTGTAAGTGTGTTATGTATAAATGTTGTACGTAGACTATGTACACGTACGTATATTTGAACCCGTACACTCTGAGAAGACATATTAAACCATAAACCCTATATCTTAAACGTTGAAATGTATTAACATAAATTCACTGTTCGATTGCTCAACTACGTCACTGCCTCACCACATCGGACGTTTTTTTCCACCTACCCCGTGCTGTTGATAGAACTGAAAGCGTGTTTGGCTGTGATGAAAAACGTTGGAGACGAGGTCAACGCCATCAAGCAACGGAAGGATATGGATGGTATGCTAACATTACACTCAGGTCATATGCGAGTACTGAGAAGTACTAGATTATACTTGGTTTGTTTTAGGGGTTGTGTAGAACTATCTCCACATATCTTTTACACTCAGGTCATATGCGAGTACTGAGAAGTCTAGACTATACTTGGTTTGTTTTAGGGGTTGTGTAGAACTATCTCCGTATATCTTTTAATAGAGCTGGACGGTATTTGTAGACAACTTTGGCAACCGGCAGTCGTAGACGTGTTCCCAAGTGAGTTAACGCATTAGATGCCGTCTATGTGTGTACCTGTCAGCGCATACATGCCCAGCGTTTAACATATATCTATAACCCTAAAACCCTTTACCCTGAAACCCTAAAACCCTGAGACCTTAAAACCGTATTCCATTAAAACCCTAAAACTCTAAAACCTAAAACCTCAAAATCCCATAACCTGAGACCCTAAAACCGTAATCCATTAAAGCCCTAAAACCCTACAACCCTACAACCCCGTCAACGCATACATATCTTACGCCTTACACTTTGTGTTGAAGTGCATGGTCACACCGAGTTCAGCTCTAATCGCACCACAGATTTTGTTTCGCTTCTTTCTCATAGGCGGTATAAAAGTTACTCAATCTGAATAACACCACAGGAAGGATTGGAGAGTGTGGGTGTTACGAGGTATAAACGGCACACTACACACAAAATCTCCATCCGATTAGGGTTTTAGGACGATGAGAAAGGGTGGAAGCATAGGTGGGACTGGATGGGGCAAGGACGGCAGTATACGCGACAGTGTGTGGCAGCGGCTATAACGACCCTCTAAAGACACACGTGACTAGTCACCACGTTGCTACAGGGAACGATACAGAGCATGACGACCCATTGACACCTTAATGCATTCTATATGTACCCGCCAATCAGATCTATCCAGTGATCTCTTTGCCAATGTGAATGGCTGGGAGGGTCTTGCGGCAACCAAAGTGGGTCCGTTGCTATACAACGATACGGTAACTATCGACGCGCACAAGAGCGGCAAGAAAATCTCCAACGCCTCCATTTACGTATTCCAAAACGTATGTCTTGTTTTTTATGTTTGGGCCTGAATGCACTGATTAAAGTTACGTATTTCAAACCGTATGCCATTATGTCTGTGTCAGGGAAAGAAGCACATATATTATATACCAGTTAAATTAGGAACGCACAAATTTGGCTTTTCATATTCGGTCAATGCGTCTCTAAATTCCCGAAATCTTATAACGATCCCCATTTGTACGTAGGCGGTTGTGATCTGCGCACCAAACACGCAAGCGAGGAGGAAAGAGAGTACGGCAGACAACATCAAAGAGAACAGCGGCAAAAACAGGGCCAGCAGGTGAGTTTAGTCAAAGGTTTCCTATATGTATGCAAATATATATGTGTATGTACATATACACGTGTGTATATATAGGTGTGTATGAAAAAATGCATGCGTGTGTGTAGGTATATGTGTCTATGTATATATACACGCGTGCGTACGTACACATGCATGTAAAACACACTGTCAATCTGAATGTAATTTACACTAAGTTCATTCCCTAAATACGCCGCGCTTCCACCCGTGAAAATACCCAACCCCCTATACCCAACCTCCACAGGAAAAACAGTTCCGTTGTGTCGCGAAAAAATTCGGTTGATTTCTTCCCAGCATACAACTTTACAGCAGCACCGCCATCAATACCTCCACTCGAGGACCATGAATTCACCCAGGCACCGCTACAACATAAGACCCATGCGCCACTCACGTCCAGAAGGTGAGGAGGAAATTGAGTGTAGATGTATGTACACAAACACACTATATATATATATAAGTATATATATATATATAAATATATAT